AACATGGCTGGGGAGGGGCTGGAGCACTCAGAGACGAACAGTTACCCATGTACTTCTGAGCTGGGAGTCAGAGTATGCCCACAGAGACGTTCATGCTTTGCTTTCCTTTCCCAGGCAAAGTGCAGCCTCTCTTCTAAAAGCTGAATCCAGATTTTTGGACATCAGAAGAATCACTCTGGTACTGGAGCCTGATCAAGCACAAAAAACATCCTCAGCCTTCGCAAAAATACCAGATGGCTGCAGATGCCAGCTCCTTTGGCCAGGCAGCTTTTTCAGAGAAAAGGCCAGCTTGTTGTGCAAGTGCTGCATCCCAGATAAAACTCTGCCGAGCAGCAAAGAGCCATAGAGAAACCCTTGGAGGAGGAGCATCGAAGCCAATGCATTCCCGTAACATCAGATTTTCAAGGCTACACATATGCGCATATCCAAATATGTTCTTCTCCAGAGGGAAGTGGGACCTACAGAAGTGACTCTGGCTGTGGAAACACTCTTACGAGTTTCTGAACCGTCGTGTGCATTTGAAGAAGGTGAAAATGAGCTCCAGTCAGAGTTGCCAAATCATTAGGAACAAAGTAAAAAAACATGCCTGGGAATGTGAGAGAAGATAATTCTGTCTCTAAATGGTGAGCTGGTCTTTGAGGTATCAGGTGAGACCCCCCCTGCAGCGCTGCGTCCAGCTCTGGGGCCCTCAGCACAGGAAGGACATGGACCTGTTGGAGCGGGTCCAGAGGAGGCCATGGAAATGATCAGGGGGATGGAACACCTCTGCTATGAGGAAAGGCTGAGAGAGTTGGGGTTGTTCAGCCTGGAGAAGAGAAGGCTTCGGGGAGACCTTATTGCGGCCTTTCAGTACTTAAAGGGGGCTTATAAGAAAGATGGGGCCAGACTTTTTAGTAGGGCCTTTAGCAATAGGACAAGGGGGAATGGTTTTAAACTAAAAGAGGGGAGATTCAGACTAGATGTAAGGAAGAAATTGTTTACAGTGAGGGTGGTGAAACCCTGGCACAGGTTGCCCAGAGAGGTGGTAGATGCCCCATCCCTGGAAACATTCAAGGTCAGGTTGGACGGGGCTCTGAGCAACCTGGTCTAGTTGAAGATGTCCCTGCCCACGGCAGTTGGACAAGATGAGCTTTAAAGGTCCCTTCCAACCCAAACTATTCTATGGTTCTATGATTCTATGAAGTGTGAGCTTTTAAACCAGCTAGTGCCCATTGGGTCAACGGTGCAACAACAACAAAAAGTCTTCCTACCCTGCTAACTCCCATCTGCCCGCAAAAGCCTTTTTGCATTCATGTAGCACTGCCTGAACAGCGAGCAGTAGGATCTCTGGCTCTCTTAAAGATCATCACGGTTTTGTCTCTGCACAAGATAATATTCTCTCTCTCAGCTGCTACACAGAAATGTGTGCAAAGAACAAACATGATCTCTTCCATAAATAGGTCAGTGAAAGGATTTATGCACCATTTGAGACTTCAAAACTGAATGTGATGCACACACCTCGTGCAACCTTCACAACAGAAGAAATGTCACCCTTCGTGCGGTGACTCCACTTCTGAAGACCACTTACTGCAAGAAAAACAAACCAGCAGCCAACAACCAAGCTGGTGTGCACTGGGACTACTTGATTCCCTGCAACGGCTCATTTTCCACCAACACCTGAACAGGTAACACGCCGGCAGACTGTGCTCGAGGATCAAGGATTCACGGGGTTCATACGACTCCCCAACTTCAGGCACCCATTGCCACAGAGCAGTGGGAATGCCTTAGGCAGCTTACAGTAAGCTGGTACACACACTAAAGCCTGGTCAGCCACATGGGCCTCGTAAAAAACCTGGAAGTACAATTCGTTTCTATTAAAATAAAAAGTCTTTTCTTTTGTCTTGGGAGTCCTGAAATGGCTGCGACACAATTAAAACCAACCGAAAAAAGAATGACAATGAGGAGTGGTGAGATGCTCTTTTCTGGGGAGCGTGGGCTGGTAATGTCCTTCTGGAAGAACCTCAGAGAGAGTGGTCACTTTTGATTACTACATAATGTGAGTAATTCTCTGGAAAGACGAGTCCTTCCCTCCTGAATCATAGGAAAGGGGGGAAAAATAACACACTCCAAAAATGGAAAGCTGGACAGCCCTTGGATGCCGGGAGCCGCCCAAGATTCCTGTGCGGGGGCCACCGCAGAGGAGCTGCACGGAGTGAATCCACAAGTCCTGCATGCTGCTCTGGGGTGACGGCTCCAGCACCGGAGCCAACCTTGGACCACAACGTACCTACTTATGTGGCCACCCAGAGCTCTGGTGGATACCGTAGGTAGTGTGGCACTAACAACATGCTGAACACCTCTTCCTCACCCAGAAGCCATCCTCTCCAGTCCTTCAATCCATGCATTCACCCAGATGCAGGAGATAGAGGTGGTTCTTTTGGAGGCTCTGCCTTCTCTGAGAAGTTTGTTCTCAGTGTAGTTCTTGGCCAGCCCATTGCATGAACACAAGCCATGGCAGCAGCACAGTACATCTCTGGTGCCAAAAATGGCTTTGTGCTTCGGGCTCAGGGCAGCTGCACTTTTAAAAACCCATCCATGGCCAGAAGTTGAGGGGAACGGTTGGGACAGATCCCCAGTGTGGCCAGGGCCATGGGCTTTGTCTATGATACTGAGGGGAAAAAGGAACAGCATTGGTATTTGAGAAAGAGTCTGTTCTTCCCCAGTTCTTCCCACTGGCTGTACAACAGACTCATCAGCAGTCCTGTGGGTTTTGAAGCTCTACACAGGGTCCCTACGACCAGCAAGACAGCTCACATACTTCATGTTCCACATGTGCTTAAATGCCTGGCTAAACTGGCATCTAAACAACAACATGAAGGTCCGAGAGACACCTTGGACCCCTACGTCTTTATGTAGACATATATGGCTACATTTAAACACAAGAAATTTTTTTCTTCATGCTAATTCTCCGGAAAACCAGTTTGGTTTCCATTACTATATATAGCACTGGGATTCTTGGTCTATTTTTTGTCCCTTTGCATCTGATTATTTTCAGTAGAGTTCAAACTTTTTATGATATGCAGATTTTAACTACAACTTCTATTCATACAGACTCACATTATTAATAAACCCACAATGGCCGCATATAATGTAGAAGAATTTTATTCATACCGTAATTCTGTCCCATCATCCACTGCAAATATTACAATTATCTTTAAAATGTCATCAAATATAATTTTGTTCCACTTAAAGCATAGGAATCCTGGTGTTAAATGGTTACACTTCTCTTGAGATTGCTTATAACAGAACCATAATTCAAATGTATTTTCCATGAGCTGTAAAGGTTTAAAGCAAAGAATCTGTGTTGTGTGTGTGCGCTTGAGTAACGTCTAAACAGTGAGGCTAATACTTGGTGTTTAACAAGAAATGTATCTTGCATATTATGCGAAACACAATTTTTTACCAATACAACAGAAATGCAATAGGTAAAAGAACATACATGAGTGACTGGTAACCTTTAAAAAATATTTCTTTTAAAAATTGCACAAGAGAATACAAAAACAGTGAAGCAAATCAAAAGTTTTGCAAATGCATATACATTTGTCTATATATATAATGGGGGTCTGCCTATATAAATGTACGTGATAAAAATTGCAAGGGTGGAAAGTGTGAATGGTCATATTTAATAACACGTGCAAGAAGCATAACATAATCATAATAAATAGTAGCAACAAATATACACTGACAGGACCACTGAAAATATGCTGAAATAAATTAAGCACCTTGAATGATAAGTCTGAAGTCAAGAAGCAGTCAGCTCTGTAAAAACCCCTGTGGGCAGCTACTGGAATATTGGGCCCTCTCGGTGGGAGTCGATAGGGAAGTCCCAAGTTAGTTTTTGTTAGTTCCAAAGAAGAAAGCACATTGCACGTCAGTAGCAGTAATTTGAGCCATGTTCTTCACTAACACCTCTAGTTTCAAAAGGGAGATTGCTGCCTTGTTTCATTGCATAACCTTTGGCGTGTGAAAGGATCAGAAAGTTGGTATTTACCCAGAAGAATGCTATCATAAAGAAGAAATATAGTTTTGCACAACTGAAAAGCGGGCAGTGCTACTTAGGGTAGCTGAGATGCAGACCTTTGCTGCTGTTAGCAAAGACAAGTTTTCCCTCAAAGGAAGATCTTCCCAAAGAATAATCTAAATGATCCCATCCTTGAGGGCTGCACAGCAGAGCAAGGTCTGGATCTGCAAAAAGCTCCATTCAAGAGGAGACGCATGTCTAGGCAGGGCAGCAACAACTGCCAGCGAGGCTGCAGGCACCTGCGGGGACCTGGGCTCTGGGAGCTTGTGCAAGATCCTGGTGCTTTTTGTTACGCAGTACCTGTCTTTTGGAGGAGAGGCGGCATTTTGAAGCATGTGTTTGGCTTTCAGAAAATCCTAAAAAATCCTAAAATTTAGTCATATGCTAAAAGAAAGGCATTTGAATTTAATTAAGTGGACCTTATTAAAAACAAACTGCTGCTGTTGCCCCTGATATACACCTGGGACCATATCTTCAGCATTTCCTATAATATTCAGAGAAGTGGCTGAGGACGCTCTGCTGCAGATAAATGTTTTGAAGACCACTTAATTCAGCAGAGAAGTTCCTGTTGACTTTTAAGGGATCTAATGCAAACCTTCATTTAACAAAAGCTCAGGACAAATAACTTAGGTCCTAAAGGCTCCATCTGAATTCTTACAAACCATTGTCCCTTGACCTCTTCACCCAGAAGACTAGAGCAGGCTGTTTGGCTTAGCATATCCTACAAAGCAGACCTGAAAGGGCTTGTAACACGGAGGAATATGGCCCCTGTATCTAAGCCACAAACAAAATGACTCAAAAGCTCTACTTTTCCCTGGCTTGCTGGAATGATCAAAATCTTCCTCCAATCCTCCCTCTTAAACTGCGTGACTGCCACTCACCCTGTGGGATCTCAGAAACCTCCAGTCCACAACCAGTGAAAAGTCTTTTAAAAGTCACAGGCAGAGGGACATCTCTTATCAAAGAAGCTTGACAAAAGGTGAATAAGACCAACTTTAAAGATAATGAGGGAAATAGAAATTTGTATGTATTTTAGATAGTTAAAAACACAGTTTTAAGCTATATGATCCAACAATAGGTAAAAATCTTTTATGCAAGCCAAAAGCTTCTTCCCCAAAGCTAGTCTTATCCAAACAGTTGTCTTCCTACTTACATGATACATGAGATTTGAACTGACATCCAGTACGTGACATAAACAGAAAAAATACACATAAAATGCACACCTTTTTTTTTTTTCTTCATAAAGCTACGGAGCTGCACAGAGCAAATTTAAGTGCACAACGTCACACAAAGGCAGCTTTCCAGAAGGAATCATTTAGACGGTGAGCGAAATAAAACTGTTGTATCTCTGAATGTTTCTCTTGAGGATTTCGGAACAAGGACCGAGCACTCGTTCAAAGCGGGGCCGATCCAGCTTTACGCACTTCAGGGGTCCGCGTGCCACCACCGTAGCAGCCCGGGGCCGATTGAGCAGTAACGCTATCTCACCTGGAAACAGGGATAAATACGCTGTCACACACCCTCTGCCTCTTTTTCGGAGGGTGCATATTCTAGCCACCATCCAGTTGCTTTGATTGTAGAATATCTCCCTTTATATATCTCTTGATAGACACCTTACATAATTCTGTTGACAGTACAAATGCATTACACATGCATAATGCATGCGTGTAAAATGCCTTTGAAAACAAATGCTTTCAGACTGTTTTGCTGATTCTGGATCTGTCTCCTGTCAGCTACACTGGTGTAAACCAAGGAATGGTTTCAGCTTCACTGAAATCTCTCAGTATCGCTGAAAGCAGCGGCTGACCTACGCATAACCCCTCGCTTGTAAAAGAGTAGAACGCTAATTAAGACAATAACTACTTGATACAACTCTACGTGCCTGTCTTTCTGAACCATACCTAAGCTGAATTTTCTTACCAAAATAATCTGATGGACCAAGTCTTCCAACTTCGACGTACTCCTCATTGTCAGACCTGCGCTGCAGAACAGAAGCTGTGCCCTGGGAAGAGAAGTGCAGAAAGTCAGCTGGCTTTGCTTAAACCTGTTATGCTTTAAAAAGTATAAAGTCCTGAGTATTTCCTTTTGCATGTCACACTCCTTTAGTTCTGCTATGGGAGAGATGACATTATAAATGAATGAAAGCAATTAAAGAATTAAAAAAATCCATCAGTATGGCAAACGATTTCTCTCTTAGGAGTTGTTTGGATGCAGACAGATTCAGCTCACACAGAAGAGAAGAGGAATGGGACAGAATTCAGTAAATCCTATTGAACTAATGCAGATCATGCTGTGGAAGTGTATGCTTTGATATAGTTTATAAATATGTTCTGGGTGGATGCCGAACCTTACAGGAGATGCAGAGATTTGCATCATAAGGAATAAAAAGGCAATTTTCCCAGTCATGGTCTTGGGACACGATTTTATAAGACAGCAACTAGAGTTTATTCCTCACCTGATCATTCACTGAATCTATTGCTGAAATGGTTGGTAAAGTGAGTTTTTAATGCTTGTTGCAACAAAGGGTGATTTTTGCCCGCTTGTGGCCTGTAGTGATCGGGACACCTGCGAGTCAGTCGCTGGAGAGATGGAATGTGTCTTGTCTCCACCACCCTTAATAACTGCTGTACTTGACACGTGCTAATACATGTCAAAACTCAGTTACAGTCTATTTAAACCTTCAAAGGGGTTTTACATGCAGAAATATTCTAACCTGGAGGAAATCTTAAATTATTGTGGCATAAAGCTTTTGTAGAGGAATAGAGAAGGTATCTGCTTTTCTGGAAAAAAATTACAGTAACATATGAAATTATCTTCTGAGGCCAAACCAAAAGCATAGGGAAAGGCAAAATGTTAACATATTTTTATTTTAACTGAAATTAAGAAGATTTTACAAGCCAAGATTTTTACATAGACTGGAGAGCCATTTTTTGACAGTGCAGTTGGAGAGCATCGATGTTTCGATGTTCTTTTAAGATTTTGAGCTTGGAAAGTAATACGTGAGGGCTGATCCTGCCCCAGCCAGGACAGGGAAGGGGAGGAGATGCAGTAATGTGGACTACGCTCATAAGATTGATGCCAGTTATTGGAAAATATCACAGCCCTCACTCTGCAGTTTAACACCCAAGTCTTGCATTGCTTGGCTCGTCGGCGCTGTCAGTGCCTGTAAAACCAGCTGCAGGACCACCCCAGCTTGGAGCACAAACCTCCCTCCAGTGCAGAGTATTCAGTGCAGATTCACTGGCTGCAAACGTCTTGCAGCTTCCTTCCACCAAAATAAACTTGTGTGCCTCAGGGTATGGTGAGGGGCTTGAGGAGACACTGAGCACCCTGATACACCTTGGCTTCAATTCAGTTAAAGGCACTCAGCACCCTGCAGAACTGGCCCTTCACCTTTGCACTGTGTTTAAATATACCCTATAGTATCCCAAACATCGTCATTGAATTGCAAATCTGAACAGCAATGAAAGGCTGCTTCAGGTCTGACTTTCACTTTTCTAGAAGCTGGGGGCCCAGGAATAACCAAGAGCGGTAGAATATCCACTATTCTGTAGCAAACGATCATAATTTGCTTTCTTCTGAACAAGCACAACTAAGCTGCTGTAATATTGTTGTGTTGCATCACGTCCTATTTCATAACAGGGTTATTTTTACGCCCATATACTTTAAAAATTGCTGGGCCACTCTCTAGGTTAACTTATAATGTAATCTTTATGTGCTATATAAATGAAGGGGTAAATCTTATTTCTGCTGATGCCAAGAACCAGAAACAAAAATCAAATAATGTGCAAGTATTATTTGATATATGCTAAGCATCTGCTGGTTTTTATACAGACTTGGGTGTACATCAAATTAATCTGACACATTAGAAGTTATAATTTCTCATTTTGCCCATTAGCAGTAACTTGTGCTTAGTATAAATCCCTAGATATCAGACTGTCAACACGTTACATTGGTCGCAACAATTTACTGTTCCACCCCATCAGCTACAGGCCATATCAGTATTACAAAAATACTAAAGAAACACCAGGGCTCTAAATTCAGGACCATTGGAAAACAATACAAAAATACTAAAGAAACACCAGGGCTCTAAATTCAGGACCATTTGAAAACAATCACAAAACTCTTCTCGGCTTCAATGCTTTCACTCTTAATGTTCTAGGCAGCTGATGGCAGAAGATACAGAACCATGTGCTAGGCACAGTGTGCATAAGCAAGGGCACCTGAACTGGGCAAGGTTGTTCAAAAATAAGCCAAACATACAGGGGGAGGTTGGTTTTGGTCTTTTGTGGAGTTTACTTGGGGGTTTATCTACCATTAAAACATGTCATGCATATAAAATTGTCCACAGCAAGTGTAAGGCTATCCACAGAAGTAACTGAAAGAACTGGATATAAGAAAGTGATTTGGTGCCTGTCAAGTTTCCAGCAAAAATTCCTTATCCTTGATATAACTAAATTGTTCCGCCAAAGCTGCTGTTTTCCAAGATCTTCCAGTAAATCCGCAAGGGCATGAAAATGCAAAGATAGTGTAATGAGTTTTGTTATTCACACTTACTGCAAGTTTTCAGAACAAACACACATGCATAAGCAGCATTCTCGGAAATGCCCTATACAGTGAATAATACGTATATCGACCTCTCGCTCGCCAAGCTTCAGATCAGGTGCAGCTCACTAAATTGATGCTGTTCTTATTGCCTGGGCAATGTAGATGGGATCAGCTTCAGAATCGCTTCCAGCCCCTGTCCTCCCCTCCGTCCCCATCTGGAGCCTGGCAAAAACCTAACCCCTTGACCCAAATAGCTGTCTGCAATCCATGTCTCCAGTCTCTTTCCCAAAACTATTTTTTTTTTTCAATTTTTATTACAGATGTTTTATTACATAAAACAAAAAAAATCCCCAGTAATCATATTGACCACCCAGGTCAAACAAAGAAAGGACTCAATTCCTCACTGCCCACCTTGAGCATGTTGCCATAAAGGTAATCACAATATCAAGCAATATTGCTTTCATCTCCCCAAGTGTCAGCTTTTATTGTGGCTAATATTTTTTTGACAGGGTCCATGTGATATAGGACTCCAATAAGTCAGTCTTCTGAAGCAATTTCTTCCACTGTTCCACTACAGTCGGCCTTTTTAATCCAAGAAACACCATGATATCTGTTGGAGAAGGACAGATGTGTCTGGCCTCCACAATAAACACTTGGCTTGGCAGGATAAAGCAATGCATATTCCAGATACATATTTTTCCACTCTTGTTTTAACAGTCACATAGGCTTTTCCCGTTGCCCAGTGAGAACAGGTCTATCACGGAGCAAAAGAAGTTTCCTGAAACCCTGACAGCCGAGCACCCAGATGTAAGATCTGATTACGCCGTTTGGCCTCTTGTTGCAGAAGTCACCAGCTCCACAAGTACATCCTGGAGCATTGTCAAAGTGACCTTCACGGGAAGACTGTCCACACCATGAAACAAAGAAGATGTATTTATCATTATCCATCTGTATCACCTTCACTTTGCATGTCTTATCTCTGGGAACAAAGCTATTCTGACTGTATTAGAGGAAGAGTCCAATCGTAAACGACCAGTGTAACCAGGGCAAAAATAATACAGAAATAAAATAATACAGAATAAAATAAAATAGTACACAATAAAATACTACAGAAACGATGCCTTATCCTTATCCATATACTCAATGAAATAGTCATATTAAATTAATTCAGCGCTGACCCCTACCCTTGTTCCCATCACAGGTTTCATGGTTGTATTTCATTTTAGTTTACTTGTCAAATCTTTCCAACACAATTTTTGAGCTTTCTATCCTTCCTGTGCTTTAGCAAACCCTACCTCTTATAAATGATACAACTGAATAAATCTCCTGAGCCCTGTCCCGAGAGGTTCGGGCATTACCTCACAAGGATTCAAGGGGCTTATCACTCTCACCCCCAAAAAGCAGTTGGTCTCAGTGGGAAAGATTTCCCCTTAAGTGGCACACAAAACTTGGCAAGATCAGTCTTCTCTGAAATAAACTGCACGATCCTAGATTTGCAGGATCAGACTGTTCAGTGCGGCTCAGTGTAAAATACTGTCTTGTACACTGAGAGCCATTTCAGCCTCCTACACCACCGAGCGAAACCTACAGAGCACAGGCTCAAAGACTGTCAAGAAGTTTGACACCATTTAATAAATCAGGGCTTTGCGATGATATTAAACTGAAAGCAGACAGGCATATCTTTCTGCTGGCAGACACTTGGGAGTGAAATGATGATCTTCAGTGGATCCAGGAATATTCCCTTTCAGTCACTGGGGAGTGCCTGTATTCCCAGGAACCGATATCATTAACCTTCTCTCCTCTCCTCCAAGTAAATACAGGCATCTTATTGCAAAAACAACAAGAGTAGCAGTTCCAAAAGCAATGTGCCATCACCACCTCTCTGCCATCCTCACCCCACGCACCTGCTCATCCCTCTATCACTGCTCTGTCATGGTGCTGAGAGTATTTATTTGTGTCTTTCAAATGCATCAGCAGTTTGTTTTGTAAAAATTTATGGCTTAGATACGGCACCATATTTTAAGATATAAAAATAAATTAAGGTTTATAATCCATGAGCTCCCATCCTCTCCAAAGTAATGAGATTTTGATAGATGTTTCACTTTTAAACTACCGGACTGAACGGATTAGTGAGACATCCTACAGCGTAAAGACAATGACCCATTTGGATCAACATGGAAGTTCCCAGGCCCTTATCCTGCATGTACTTACAAGCACGAATTGCTTCAAGAGCCCTATTTTTATATTTAAGTATGAATCTTATAGCCAGCAGTTGGCCTAAGTAGCCTGGCTACAAAAGGCAAGTGTTCGTGATGCTAAAAAGTGAAATCCTGTAATTTTTCCTGTACTCCAGCTCAGCGGATAGGACGGGATCATTCCCGGGCAGCACAAGGGAAAATCTGGTGGACAGTGATGTGTCCATGTTACCTCTGTGTGGGACAGTCTGTGCAGTAT